ATTTTCTGGCACCAATCAGATACCAGAACGACTGCGACCGTTTGGAACTAGTCTTGTAAGACAATGTCCCCAGGGGCTCTTCTGCCCTTAACTTGAAATCGACTCGCYGCCCCTGGGTCTCCGAGGATGCGGGTACTCTAAAAATAGTTGCTGGACCTTCAGACAAAATAGGTTAGTTTACATGACGTCCTTTCGTACGATTCTCAGTCCTGGTAACTAGCCGTTCAATTTGTACCAAAGAGACTAAGTACGAGAAGAACAGCGCGCCAAAAATTATCAGTTCTTCCGCGAAGCTGAAAATTTTATTCATTGGTATAAAGATCTTTGGATTTCCCTGATCATTCTTCGTGTTTTGACATGGAGGCACCAAGAGTCAATGCTTCAATGTTATCCCAATATTCTGGAAAAATTGTATGTCTTGTGGGAAATGTAACAGAGGTAAGCAAGTAGAAAGAGTTTGGAATTAGGGTTACACTTGAGGTGGACGGGTATTCTGAAGTTACTCCCACTCGTGTAATTGCTGCAAATAAGTGTATTATTTTATCATTCTGGATCGGCCAAGGGGTAGATTACTAATCGATGAATCATACATGGCTGTGCGCGATGGGGATGTTTGCGAAAGAATGCCTTATTTTTGGCAAGGGGTTGAAAGAGGAACTGAAAATGATTCTTTGGTATTCGATCTCGTGACGAAATTTGAATGTCTTACCGTTCACTAGCTGACTCAACTGTGATATGATAATGAAAGTTTAGAGTGACTTAATCATTGTTACGGTTTTACCCAATTTCGCTTTCTTAAGCTGCGAAATGAAAACCCCTAAACAAAAGGTTGGCAAATTGATAACCTTCATTTGTGGGTAACAGGCTTTGCGTGCATGTTGGCTAAAGTTGAATTGGGGCTTGATTTCAACGTATGCGGGTCCTAGAATAGGAAGGGATAGTGATTGGATGGGTGTTCTACTGGTTTTTGACTAACGATGGATCCTTGTTGCATACATAACCACCTTTTTGATACTGCCACCAAGTTCCAATGGACATTCGGTTCCATACCATTCACCTCTGGTGCACCAAAAATTGAATTAAGTCCCAGTCTTTTGCCTCCTTTTCTGCTGTGTTTTTTTGCTGACCAGCTGTCTATTGTTGGGACCAAATTGTCACTGCTAGAGAATTATTTACTTAACTTTTTCACACTCACACTGCCCAAGTGCTCTGGGGAGTAGGTACAGGGTAATAACAATCATCAGGGCTATCAGAGGAAATTCATAGATGATGTCTGCACTCAAGCAAAGAGGCTCATCTAGCTGGTGCTTATAGCTGTTTCTGTAGTTTGAAGCAACTAGGATTATTGCAATTCTCCCCCTGGATGGGATGCCAGTCCATTACAAGGTTACCCCCATCTGGCTTCCCTGACAATTCACTGGTACCCATGTATACTTCTGGATGGAAGATCATGCCACACCAGTAATGCTACTATCTATACTACTAAGAGATGAAGAACTTTAACTTACCAGCGTTCATTTTTTATACATACAGGCAGGATCTGGAATTCTCTACCTACCTACATTAGAGACAATTCTCTTTCATTTGTTTCATTTAAAAATAATCTTTTTGATTATTACACAAATGCTCTCTTGAACGTATACAACCCGGACAATCCTAGAACATGGAAATCTGTTTGTCCTAAATGTAATATGGCCCGACCCCTTGTCAAAGATATTGATTGCTGTTTTTAATTATTAAGTTTAATTTTTTTTGTAATTTAGTATTTATTTCTGGGACCACTGTAATTAGTTATACTGTTGTGGCCTCTCTGCCCCATATTTGTTCACTGGTGCGAAGTTTAATAAATTAAATTAAAATTAAATGGAGAGAGGCATCAAAGTTGAAGTTTTCTTTTGTTTTGTTTTCAGTGTTGAAAGTGTACCTTCCTAGTACAAATTGTGAAATTGAGTTTTTCCTTTCAAATCCCACATCTGATTGTGATATTTGACATGTGAATTTTTGTATCTGATTGGTGCATTGAAAATAAACTTGTTTACCCAGCACATGATCACTCTGATGTGCATGCTTGAAGTCACGCTCATTGGACTTTTCAGCTGGTCCTGCATGCAATGTTTTTAATTTCTATTGGCCTCTATTTAATGCAAAAGGTCCTTCACTTGAACCTTGACCTCTTGGTCTAGATCCTAGTGCACTTACTATGTGGAAATGCATAGAGGAAATGTGTAGACCAGAAGGTAGATCATCAGATTTTCCTTAATCTTTTTTTCTTTAATTTTCAAGTGGCACATGTAGGGTTTAAAATTGAGCAATTCAGCTTTTCCTACACTGGGTTTACACTCAAAAAACAAAAAACAACAAAATGGTTTTAATGGTTAAAGTTAAGTCTCATCTTGTTTTTCTTGCAGATCAGTTCAAATGGTGCAGAGCTTAACCTCGTGGCATGTGATCACAAGGTTGTCAAAGTCACTCTGGATGTACCAGTAAGTCTGTAGCTATAGAAATTTATATTTTTAATTCAAAGGGAAAGTTATTCACCCAGTAACAAAGAACACATGCTGATTACTTCTTCAATTACCCAATATTTTTAGCTTGATGAGAAGGTCCAAGGGGCAGTGGAAGTTGTGGGAAGAGTAGAGCGCAACTGCTCTCTTTCAGGACAAAGAATTATTTTATACAGCAGTGATTTTGGTAAGGATGCCTCTGCTTTCCTTATGTGATTCTTTTTACAATTCTCTTCCTACCAGTGACTTAACTCCTAAAGACCTAGAAGTGATGAACATTTAACTTCTCATTATTTATCCAGCAAACTGGTAACAGGGCTAGCCACTAACTTTTCAACCTACTAGTCAAGTGGCTTGTGACAACTTAGATGTTATGACAATTTCAGTTTGTTTACTAGCCAAACTGGCTGGTGGAAATAAAAAACCACCAGCTAAAACTGAATTTCTACTAGTCTGTGGCTAGTTGGCTACCATTAGTGTCGAGCCCTGGGTAATGAGAACTCTTAAATGTATCAGGTAGAAGTTATTTTCTTGATCCAACACCAAATTCTCACGACTAATTTACAAGGGAATGTGTAGCCGCTAAAGGGGGAATTAATAATCAGATTGTATCTTTTAACTTAAGAAGTGGTTGAAAGCAAATGTATTTTAATGCCAATTATTTTTTTAATTTTATTTTCTTTCATCAGTTTTCTGCTTCTTTTATGAGGCAAAAACTTATAAATAGAGGTTTTATTTTACATATGTGTAAATTATTTTCTTCAACAGACCTGGAAGCCTATAGTCAAGCTGTATCATTAGCTGCTGACTTCCCTGAAATATTTGGATCCACGCAGTTGAATGGATTTGGCCACTAACCAGATAGAAACATGCAGTTGTTTCCACATCCGATTCACTAGATAGCAAAGACTGTAAAATTAACCTGAAGAAAGAGTTCTTGCCAGCTGATCTTCATGATTATCTCTTATGCGTAATGACAGCATTTACTGAAATTTCAGCCCAAGCCTTGTTTGTACAAAAACATTCAGAAGTCAATGTGACTTCCTTATTGTTTTCATGAATTCATGCATTTGATTTTGGTTTTCTGGGAAAACTATCCAGTTAAAATTCAACAATCCACACCTTTAAAGGGAGGCTTGTGGTTGAAATTGTGTATTCTGCTCTTAACATGCACAAGGCCTATTTCAATGATGAAATCAATGCATGTGTGGGTATTAAATGATACTTTAAAATGGTGAGAGGAATCATTCATTTCCTTTCTGCTTTTCATTGTAGATACATAGCCATTCAAACCATTACATTAGACACTTTCTTTTTAAGTAGAAATGTTAATTACTATCTAATGCCGAGATCTTATCAAGTGGAAGCTAGATTACTGAAAGGAAAGTTAATAAGTTTTCTTTGGAGTTTTTAGTAGGTGATTCAGTGACCCTTTGAGGTTCATATCTTGTTACTACTTTTTGTTGGAGACTGAATTTTAAAGTCAGATTACTTTGTGTGGTTCTGTTTCAGAAGATAAGTAATGATTTAATGTTGTTCATGAGGTTAGACATGTGTAATAATGATGAGAAGTTATTATGCATTCTCCAGATGTTTTTGTTTTAATTGCATTGTGACATGCAGATGGCAACATGGACCTCTGTCGCTTTTCTTAGCCACTGAACTTGTTAATTACAGTTAAACTTGTGGTGCTTTCGTGAGTTTGAATTATGTGTGGCCCAACCTTTGACTGTTTCTTCTGTAATTTATTTCATTTTTGTTTGAACAGCAACAAAGGAATGGGAAATAAAGAGAGTATAGAAAGAATACATTTGGACACATTTACCTGGAAACAGCTCTTTACTTGACAATGATTTTAATTCATACAAAAGCTTTATGGTCTTTGTTTTGGTTTTTTAATAAAAATAAAAAATCCCATGGGAAAAAAAAAATAGTCACAAGTAAGATTGACAACTTAATTATGAGAAAAGCACAAAGGTAGTGTGTAAAATACATATTGAGAGAAATTGACAAAAATACCATTAGATGATTCATAATGAACCTGGTAAAAGATGATATTCAACGCTGACTGAGGAAAGAAAATATTACAGCTTATCTTTAACATTTTACAACCTAACATCAGTATGCATATTCTCCATACTGTTCCCTATACATTTCCTAAGGTGCTGAGAAGGAGAATTTATTTAATGAGAGATTAATTTGTTGGTGATCATTTCCTTGCTTTTTGTGACCATAATCTGTGAATCAGGGTTGATAAAATAATTGTAAGAGAGAAATTAGATGTTTGTTGCTCTTCTGGTTTGGGAATACTATTGTTACTAGCATCCCAAAGGTTGCTGACTGCAGCTTTCTATTACTAATGCTCAAAAGGGCTAACATTAGATTGCCAGAACCCAACCTAGCTGGTCAGTTCACTTGCAAGTCGTTTTGTTAATGATTAGTTTGCTTCTGTAATTGGTCGTTTGTCTTACCAAATGTTAAGAGATTTCATTGGCAGAACTTGATCAACTTTTAACTCACTGAAAAGTCATAGAGGAGTTAGCCATTTCAATACAAACTGCTACTTCACTATTCTGAAGAAAACAAACTAAAAAAGAGACCAAAAAAACTAAACTGTTAGCGAAATGGCCAAGAACATGCCAGTGAACTGACTTGAGACACTGGTAAAACAGCCTAAAATGTTAGCAAAGTGGTCATCACTGAAATAACTTATAGGAAAAATGACCGCATTCTTATTTTTGTGTCATGTTTTTGTTTTATATCAGTGCTTCCAACAAATAATGTATAAAAAGAAACACCAGAGTTCTTGGATCAATGATATTCACTACATGAGAATGTTTGAATTGCACTCCTACACCAAATAACTGAATAGAAAAGAAGTGATAAGAAAACTCTGGCTAATAACCCTTCCCAGTTCACTGATTCATAACTTAATATATACATTTATCAATTTTAAAACTCCTTGGTTATTTTCATTTTCAGTGTAAAGAATGAATTTAATCTCAATATTTTTATTAGCAGAAGATTCAATTAGTCCAATTTTGCAGAAGGAAAAGAAAAACCCTTTTCTTTAAAACTTAAGAGAAAATATTTGATATGGCATATTTGCATTAACATTGGAAATATCTAACCTGCTGGCCTAAAAATGTTTTTTGTTTTGTTTTTGTCTTTGTTTTTCTTTTTTTTCTTCAGATGATATGCCACAATTTTTTTTTGACATTATTTCTAAAATACTTATTAATTCATGTTACTGAAAGAATGTCATTGTTTGGCATTGCTGTGGCAACAGAATCTAGGTTCATGCAGTGACATCCACATCCTGTCACAGGACATTCAACATGTTCCCTGGAAAGTAATTCAGTAGGTTAACAGTTGCCAAAAAAATGTTTAAGGAAAAACAAAACACTTCCAACTCTACAAATAATATCAAAAGCAGGGCTAGACACTAATGGTAGCCCACTAGCTACAGACTAAATGAAACTCAGCTTTGGCAGGTGGTTTTTTGATATCCCCTAGCCGGTTTGGCCAGTAAATAAACTGAAATTGTCATATCATCTAAGATGTCACCGGCCACTTGGCTAGTAAGTTGAAAAGTTAGTGTCGAGCCCTGAAAATTCTTTCGGTTGATAATTGACAATTTTAGTTCACAATGAGGAAAATAACATCTGACATTTCATTGACTAACGGACAAAAAAAAGTTATAAAGAAAACCCTTCCACGATGAAAAGGTTGTGGATTATAAAAGACTGAGCACTCTTCCCAACCTTCCTTCATTCCTGGGGGAAAGGGCTGTAGGCCTGGTCTAAAATCAAGGAGGGAGGGGGTGTACCTGTCAAAGTACCTCCATTGGCTACTTAAGGACAACTCTATGTTACTTTGCATGATGCATGTGTATCAGCACTGAAATCTCCAGTTTAGCAACTTACTTAAACCATCCAACTATATGATTGGAATGTCCACCATGACGACAAGATTGACACCATGTGAACCAGTTGTTAAATGGATTCACACTGTGTACATTTGTTGGTTTTTCTGCACTTGAATCTCCTAAAGGAAAGATTTAATATCACAAAAAAAATAGCATCATTTGAATTTAGCTGATGACCATAGGTGGTTATATCCCTTAAGTTCAGAAGTTTTTCTTTTTATCTGTGAATCATTTCACTTAAAAACACTTTTACTCGAGCTATCATACTCCCTTAAACATTTTGGTAATAGTGAACAATGGTTTTCATTTTTGGCTGTCTACAAAACTTTGGCTTGAAACATAACGGAAACTGTCTGTTGACAGTTAGCCGACAGACAACCAACAGCCAACAGATGACCAACTGTTGGCTGACAATAATTATCCTTTGAGAACTGTTCTTCACTTTTACCAATATTTTGAGTCACCTACTGAAATAAACATTTCCATGAAGATAAGATTCTCTAGGGAGAAGAGGAACTGAAAGATTCAGTTTGTGATTTTGCAGCTGTGAATTAACTCAAATGTATAAATATATTAATAGTTCTCTTGACCTTGATTCACTGGCTTCTGTGAAAGTGATGAAGATGTTCCCATGTGAACCAAGCAGAGAGCACATCTTGGAAGAGGCTTACGGCAACCAGGGCATGCCATAATCTGAAAACCATCAGCACAAACATTGAGACAAAAATCTAATGAATCTGACCAAATTGATATGGCTTTCGGCACATTAACTGACAACTAGACAGACAACTCTTTACATTTATAAGGTGTCAGCAATATGAGAATGGGTAAGCACAAAGAAAGAGGGTGAAAGGAATGCACTAGGAGGATTTATCTTTCTCTGGGTGAAGTAACGATGGACTTGTGTTTCATAATTATCTTTAATGTTCATACTAACAAACTGTCCACCAGTCAGACTGATTGCTGATATAGGATGTTGGTGATGTTCAGAAAGATGGGCAGGGGATGAGCTTCATGTATGCACCAGCTTGAATGACGTAAGAGCCTCCAGACATCCTAGATACTGATGGCTTGTTATGAACCTCATCTTGTTAAATTAGACTCATTTTTTGAACTATCAAAGGATTCCTTTTAAACTATCAAAGGATTCCTTTGATAGTTTAAAAAATGAGTCTAATTTAACAAGATGAGGTTCATAACAAGCCATCAGTATCTAGGATGTCTGGAGGCTCTTACGTCTGGCTCTGGTGTTCCTTGCATGAAACACTTCACAGTCAAAGTTAAACAAGGAACCTGATGATATAAGTAAGGGGTTCTTAACACCTGGGCTCTGCCAGAGAACAGCTCCAACACACTGCTTAGTTATGAGTAATAACATACCTTAGTTCTGTTTGAGGGATTGCAGTACTGTGCAAGTTTACGAGGCCTTGAACCTAAATATACCAAAATTGAAAAGAAAAATTATCTAAATTATTCAATTTTATTAGAGCATTACCTTTAAGGTTACAAGTGTTTACACATGAAGCAATAGATATTTAAATTACAATGCATGTAAGTTTCAAACAGCTAAATGTGAATGTAAGCCAAGAATTTTAAGCAGAGTGGGGTGGGAAGAACTCAAAACATGGATACCTTCTGTAAGATTGATCAGTTGTGGACTCAAATAAGGCAGAGAAGGTGTCCTAGATCAACTATAAGCAACTCTGTCTATTTTCAAGAAATATTTGCCTACTTAAAAAAGACCTTAAAATAGAACTCTGTGTACAAAAGGACAGGAATTTCAGTGAGCTACAAAACAGATCTAAGTAATGACTCATAAAATCACTTAAAAGCAAGGATGGGAATATACAAAGACTGGAAGAGGATAAAATGTTAACCCCTTGACTCCCAAGATCTGATGGTTAGTTAATTCTCCCCTGTGGCTACTACACATTTTCTTGTAAATTGGTTGCAAGAATTTGGTGTTCAATCAAGGTAACAACTTCAGCCTGATAAGTTTGAGTATTCTCATTACCTGTTTGCTGGATAATATAAGGACATTATAGAGAGAAGTTACACATTAATCATTTCAGGGAGTTAAGACAGATCGATCAGCACTCACCTGTTGGTAGCATGTTAGTAAGGATGGAATTGCCACAAAAATTACATGAAACGAAGACTTGTTGAGGAGGTCTCTGGCTGGAATCTTTTAAGTTAAAGTGAATATCAAACAGTGACCTGAAAATAAAAGTATCTATTGAGCAAAAAAAAGAAAGAGAAGTTCATATACTTAATGTACTATTTGTGGTCAAATTTCCTTACAGGGAAAAAAAAAAAAGAACCCCTGCCTTACTTCCAACAGGTGGGTTCATCTTGGTTGATAGAAGTGCATTCATAGTATCTGCAAGACACCCATTTGTGCCCCACTCTAGCACATGAAAAATGGAGAACTTAGTGTGATACATTGAAGTCAAGGCTTACAACATCTTGGGGAACTGTTGTTTTTAAAAAAGTGCGATTAAAAAAAAATTTACTCCTGCACCTATTGTCATTGAGATATTTAAAAATAATTGTACCAACGTGACAAAACAAATAAATGCAGCAAGTCTAAGCAATATTAGAATCTTGTGATTTTTCCATAACAAACAATACCTTTGATGCCACAGCCTCCACATGTCAAGCAGACTTCTATAACTGAAAACACCAAAACAATTTGATCACTATTCTAAATTTTGTTTGTATACTTATACTTAACAGATGATCTTCTTTCTCTCAAAATAGAGTTGTGGTCTTACTTTTCTATCCATGATAATACTCTTGGATCTTTGGATACTTCACTGGAGATGTGAGCAACACAGTTGACAATGACCAGGCTTGCTGTTTGAACATCTGTTGTCTGCAAAGAAAACCAATATTAACTGTAGACAACAAACTAGATATGAGATAAAGGCTGATAGTTTCTAAAAAAACTGTTTGGGGCTGTATTGGTGGGGGTAACGAAATAATTTGGATATATCAACAAAGTTGAAATGGTAAATTGGCCACCATAACAATTACAAAAGCTGATGTTTCGAGCGCTAGCTCTTCGTCGGAGCGAATGACAAAGGGCTCCGACAAAGGGCTAATGCTCGAAACGTCAGCTTTTGTAATCGTTACGGTGGCCAATTTACCATTTCAACTTTGTTGATATATCCAAATTATTTAGATATGAGATACATTTTCTACTCTCAGACCTTCTGTTTTCTCTCAGGACATTGTCTCAAGAGTGAAGGAAATTGGAGAGCAAAGAAATTAGACAACTGCTCTCAATCCCTGCGTTGATACCTGAACAATCTTAAACATGCAAAGTACACTGAGGGAAACTTTACCTTATTTACATATTTTTCTAGTAAGTTTATTCCATCCATTGAAATTCCTAATGGATAGAGACAATAATTATACAACTGATATAAATTGATCAGAATTAACTGATTGATATCAACAGCCTTGAAGCCTTAAAAAACAATGTAGTAATACACTATGCTGATATAGCAAATTATGTTTCACAATAACAGTGACACAACTTGTGTTGGTCAGTAGTTGAGTTTTTTTTTGTGTTTAAATTTTTTCGGTATGATTGACTGTGTTGTTAATTGTAAGTAGCCTTAATCAAAAGAGAATTTATGATGTGATGATATCTTCTGGCACTAATGTCAAAGCCACCATATCAAAATTTGGCAGATAATATTGTCTGTGCTTTATTCAATTCATCATATGCTGTCTGGGAAAGGAGGCCAGGAAAAAAAATTGAAAAAATCCTCCCTAAATATGCAATTCCTCATTGATTGATTAATTACAATTTACAAAGCTAATTTGTTGGACAAGGAAAACAGTATTAGTGCCCTAAATTAAAATCTGCTTGCTTCCAAGGACAATTGGACCCTGGATTTCTCCAAAATAATAACAGATCATCCATAACATTTTAGGAAGATTAATAAGTTTACCAAATACAAAATGATGGCCAAGTGAAATGATGCCCACCTGTAAGAAGAATGCCATCTAGATCCCCAGCATTACTTAACTTTGTTGACAAGTTCTCAAGAAACTGGGACAACTGACATACAAACAAAGTGGGGATAACAATTCAGTTTTTGTTCCATGCAGCTCAATCAAGCTTCAAATCATGCCAGTACTAATGAATTTCAACTAACATTCATAGATTGCTATAAAAATGTTTTGTCCCTACCTTATTATCAGGAAGAAACTTGCACGCAAAGGCTACTCTGTCCTCAATTTCCATTCCTTCCTCAGCCTAAAGGAGGGCATGTTGTTTTTTTTCAATATTTAAAGGAATGTACTGCAGTAGTATTACAATTTTAGACAAAACTTTTCCTCCCACTGCATAATAACAAAATTCTGTGTTGAGAGCTATTCATGCCTTTAAATAGAAATCTCACAATCCATTACAAAAGACTCACAGCATGTTAATAGGTAGATCTTAAAAAAATTACCTCTCAAAATTGCAAGAAAGAACTTACCAAAATATTTTCAAACTGTTCAGCCTCAGTGGTCAAAAAGGCAAAAGCTGATCTAAGATAAGGATTCTCCATCTAGAATTAAAACAATGTACACAGCTAATAACAAGTTTTATTGCACGACTCGGGCAGTCAGAGGGCCAATAACTAAAATCAACCAATCAAAATGCTCTATTGCTGGCCAATATTCTCTCAGTATTGGACCAGGCACTGTCCCAAATGATACTGCAGTTGTGTCCCTTTGAACTTCAGTTGTATAATAAATCTCTTATTAACCAAGCTTGCTTGGGACTGTACTGGAAGAATATCGGCCCTCTGTCTTTTTTGTACAGACCTCGCTACGCTCGGGTCCGTACTGTCAAGACCTCAGGCCGATATTCTCCCAGTACAGCCCTCGTGCTTGGTTAATAAGATATATTAATTGCACAAAATTTATCAGTATTCTTAGAAGAATTTTTTTGAGTCAATCACAACATTGGAATGGTTAAGGCAGTCTATCGTCTCACAGTGTTTTGTTACCTTCACCTGTCAAATCACTAGTACCCACTAACACTACCATATGGATATGAGCATTGTGAGATTTGAGCATCTTGCCCAGAATTATCGTTGTAAAAATAAAAAAAAAAACCCCTAAGGAAAGATAATTTAGTGTTTTGTATGTTAATTACTTTTACTTACCTGACCACACAATGCCCTACACATGTCTCTCCACAAAGCATTCTTTTCTTCTGTATACCCTGACAGTGCCATAGCAACCACATTCAACATATTTCCTGGAAAAATGCCAGATATCGATCAGTTCACCAAAATATCCTCTCTATTCTTTGGAGAGGATAACACGATAGTGTGAAAGTGTGTGTGAAGTCTAAGCCAAAGAATACCTGAATGCTGTCCTTATCAAAAATACGTTACCTTTAGATCCTATTTTATTATTTGACCCTTGTGAGCTCAATATTTCAATTGCATCTCTGATCTTGTTATTAAAAAGGGCTACTGCTGCAGCTCTCTCATGCTGTCCAGAAGATTGCAATCTGTAAGCAAGAGAAATTACAGGGTACTCTATAAAAAAGATTTAACAATGAAAAACCATAATAACAAACTATCAAAATGATGCATTATTTTCCAGTAACTTAGTAAAACAAAATAAAAGAACACTGCTTTTCTTACACACTGCTGAGGCCTGGGAATGAGTCTTGTGACTTCTTATCAAGACAACTAGAAACATCTATTGATTGAATCAAGTTTGTCTTGTTAACCCAAGCTTATATATGCACCAAACCTCAGTTATTTCTGTATCAGTTCCTAGAGCCATTAACTGGTTGTCTCAGTGAACCTTAGTCAAGCAAACTAGCTCATTCATCTTGTCTTGGCTTTTTCCTTACTCATTTAAAAAATCAGCAAGCATGTTTCCTGAGCCTTTAAAATCCCAGCCACAGAGAGAAAGAGCCAGCTTTCTGCAACCATAGAGAAATATATAAAATTATCCATAAATCATAAACGCCACACAAAATCAACATCCTCCAGGAAAACAGGCACAGTCAACTACAAGTGATCACCACAAGAGCAGTTCTGACCTTTCATCACTGAAGTACACTGGTGCGACAAGGCGCTGTTCTTGGTAAGAGTCTGCTTTGCTTCTTGCAGTTGCTCCTTTGGATATAAATTGTATCATAGTAGGACTTGGTCATCATCATCATCAAGCCTTTTCATGCCTTGTGGCACAAAGGGCCTTAGTAGGACTTGGTACCAGATGAGAATTATTATAGCAACACAGTTCTTGGATGCATTTCACAAGTCTGAATGCATTTATAAATTTGGAGATACTTAATTCCAACAAATTGAAAATAAACATTCAAGTTGATAGCAAGTAAGCATAAAAACAGCATTTCACCCTTTAACTCCCAGAAGTGATTAAAATGCAACTTCTCCCTACAACATCCATACACCATCCAGCAAACAGGTCATGAGAATACTCAAACTTATCGGTCAGAAGTTGTTATCTTGATCTAACACCAAATTCTCACAACTTGTTTACAGGGAAATGAGAAGGAGTTAGAGGGGAGAAGTAACAATGGGATCTTGGAAGTTAAAGAGTTAAGAACCCCAACTGGCAGAAGGTGGACCAGTTGGCTATATACTTAGGAAAAGTAGTCAAGGAGTTGAACTCATGGATACTGGAAACAAATCCAGTAAGTAGCAGGGTGGATGGCTTGAATGCGAGACCACCAGTTACAAGACCGGGGTTTCATTAAGGGCCAGGCACCGGGCAAATTGACCGGTTGTGAGGACGGTTTTGCCCACCTGATTTGATGGTCTGGGGGAAAGTTTATCTTATAAAGAAGTTCAGTTCAAAGAGTTTTGCCCGCCTGTGAAAACCAGTTGCCCTCCTGCAGAGGACATTACTGAAGCCCCTGACAAGACCAGGGGCCACTTCTTGAAAGCCTTGGTAGCCTAATGGGCTCGTAAAGCTGTTCTGTTTTCACTCCAGATGGGGATTTCAAAAGTTTTGAAAAATGATACAATNAAATAAAATAATAATAAAAATAAATTAAAAGACCAAGGAACATCATAATTAAAAAGAAAGAGACAATTCTAGATGTTTCAATTACTGATTAAGGATAGGTTTTTCCCACTTAATATGCAATGCCTCTTTGATCTTAATTTGGTATTTTGAAGCGGCAGGACTTCTGAGAGATGGGCCCCTGCGCCCTTACCACAATACCACTCTGCCTCATATCTCCTTTGGACTTGCCTGGCTAGTGTATCAATACTAAATTACAACTTAACCTATTGACGTCCAGTGCGCCTGTTTGCGCCCATGGGGACCCACACCCTTTCTACGCCTTGTGACGTCATCACTTTTAAACCTGGAGCACGAATTTGAGCACGTACTTGAACAGGTTGAAAATATTGTACAAATGATACCAGAATGAGCGCAATTGAGTGAAGGAGATTGGAGAAATAGCCAAAAAACCATGTTACTTTGACCTGAAAATCTGCACGAAAATCTTGTTCCATTACCCACCTACCTTTCTGAGCATGTGGTTTGAAAATAATGAATGGTTTCTGAAAAATCTCTACACCAAAATGAAGCCTACTAAATTTCCAGCAAGTGAGGAGAAACTTTAGGCAAGGAGAGGGTATAAAAAAGGGAAGGAGAAAGAGAGAAAAGTAAAAGTCATAAGTGGGGTATTACTTTTCAACCCAAACACTATGTCAAAATTTTGCTTTCTGCGAGTGCTCGAGATTTTCAGGCCACCATTTTGCATTTGGATTGAAAGGCCGTCGAGTATACGAGCTGTCAAGGGGTTTTTGGTAAGTTTGAGCTTTTAAAACCACAACAGTGACCCGAAATCTGCTCGACTAGCTTCAAAACACAGCTTTCCACAAAAGCTGCGGCCATTAATGGGTTAAACATAGTTATTTCAACCCTCAGTAACAATAAAAAGTACTTAATATAAAATCATTTTCTGTAAGAGGTAGTTTTCTTTAAGTTTTACATACCTCCACCACCATTCTCTCCACCAATGATAGCTTTGATGCCATCATACTTCAGATTTTTAGATTTGTCTAATAAAAGATCATATCAAAAAGTCACACTCTAGAAAGACTAGTTACATGAAGAGAATGTTTCATGAATGAACTCTTTATTTCACGAACATCATTTTGCCATCTTCACCTGCAACTAGCAAAAGCTAGACGAGGCGGGCAGAGAGGTAAGGTTACAGCAGTCATAACAGATAATATAATAATTGTAAAGTAACTAACTAATAATAATTGTAAAGTAACTAAATAAACCAGTGTACAGAGAATTGTTTTCACCTTTGATCAGACAATGAAGCTCATAACTTACATGTCTTTTAATGACTGAAAGATAATTTTCCTACCTTGCTCTCTCATGGACTTTACCCCTAAAATATGGTTAAGGTTTCCTTGAAATAAAAGCAATGACAGTATGATGAGTTCAGAGAATTTCTCTACTTTGCAACTCCATTCTTTCCCTTCAATTTTTACAGTGGTAAAGTCAAAATTACTAAGCCTCTAACAGAATCACTTTGAAACAGTCACGTCACTGAATTAACCTAGAAACCTTTTAACTCCTCGACGGGGTAGTTCAAAGCTGGGTTACGATAATCCAGGGTTTGGGTGAAATTTCATTTCAGATCTGAAAGCTTTAAAAGAAAGTTCAATTTAACTATTTTTGTCTACAATTTGAGGATCAGATGCTTGCAAAAGAATAGGGAAAATGATCCCAAAAAGGTTCTTGCATAGAGAAATAAGGAAACCTGGATTAAAATTTAAGCTTGGGTTAATGCTAATCATCCTTTGAACAACTGGACCTGGAGGCAATAATTTGCTAGTCATCTTCTCCTTGGTACTAAAAAAGTTTCCACCAGGCAGAGAATCTAAAATATTATCTGCCACGAGGTGTTATCTTGACACAGGACCAGATTAGCACCAATTTACAAGAAAATGTAAAGAGGCTATACAGGAGAGTCATTAATCACACCACAGGGAGTCAAAGTGAAAAATCCATTTTAGCAACTTTCTAAAAATAAGATGTTAATAGGAAGGGAAATCAAATGGTTCCTATAGATTCTAGTTGGGCAGTTGCTCACAGAAATGTACTAAATAGAAAAATCACCTTTTAAGAGAACAAAAAATTTTGCAGCAATTTTTGTAGATGTTGTTAGACTAAGTATAGATTTTCTCCACCTGAAATCCTGTGTTTGCTAGGGTTATTGATATATAGGTAACTTTAAATACAAATATTGTCATTCAGTGACATAGTACAAGACAGTTCAAATTAAAATTATTTTATGAGCCTGAAAATTCCATTGCCACTCAATTAATTGATTCATAAAAAGATACGACAAATCCACGACCACAACTTAACAAGCTTAGGATCTCCAGTTATCCTTGCAATGTCTTGCACCTGTTACGGCCAAAAAGAAAAAAAAACTATCTATCAACACCATTATGTTATCATCATTATCAATTGTCAATAATAATGAAACCCCATCTCATTCTGGTCGACTCTTTGTACACATAAAGTATACAAAAAAATGTTGATTTTTTTTTGGATGGCTTTCCCATCTGTGCTTAGGGTGTTTAAAAGGTGTTTTACAAGAATTAATTTTAAGTAATTGGTTGTTAGGATAGTTCAGGAAAATAAGGTTGTATTTGTACACACAGTAATGCAACACTGTGGTACAGTGTTGATCATGCACAAAGGTCCAGTAAATATATCTTATTAACCAAGCGTGAGGGCCGTACTGGGAGAATATAAGTCTGGGGCCTTGACAGTATGGACCTCGCTCCATACAAAAAAGACCGAGGGCCGATATTCTTCCAGTACGGCCCCGAGCAAGCTTGGTTAATAAGAGATTTATTATACAACTGAAGTTCAAAGGGACACAAGTGCGGTATCATTCGGGACCATTCGGGACAGTGCCCGGTCTAATACTGAGAGAATATTGACCGGCAATAGTTAGAGCATTTTGATTGGTTGATTTTAGTTATTGGCCCTGTGACTGCACAAGTCGTATAATAAATTCCAATATCTCACAGTAAGTTGTAGTTGAAGGACTGAGCAGAACAAAGCCCTACCAGGCAGGTGACTTTGATACTAGATAAACTTCTCTCTATGTTTCAACTGAGAATACAGTTTGGAAGAAGAGTCTAGTACTCTTTTTTAAAAGCCTTCCTTCAAATACAACCAAAGTCTCTCACTTGATGAAAGTTTATTCCATATCCTGCAAATGCTCTGCGCTTTATCTTTAACGAGACATCCTCCTCTAAAGCTGCCTCAGCAGTCTATGATACAAACAAAACTAGACTTTAATCCAGAGTTTCATTCACTTTTTCCCATAGTGTAACAGCTAGAGAACAAAACGCTACAGATGCAAACAGTTGTTAAAAAAAGATATGCTGTTTAAACACCAGAAATCTGTTAAGGTCCATATTAGACTGCCTGAATTTACATGCTGATATATCTGGATGACAAACAGGGCCTACAGAAATAACATTGCAAAGGTAAAACGTACCTTTTGTGAGCACTCCAATAAATGCTTCCCACAACCCCAGGTAAGGTGGGAGTTTGGGGACCAAGTCTGCAAGGGTAAACAAAATAAACAAACGAACTTAAACAGAAATATATAAATATGTAAACATAGTAGATCAGTCAATGAGCAGAAATAATATGATCCTGATATCTAACACCTACCCAGTTATATGTAAGTTTTAGCATAAAAAACCGTACTTACAACAGAGATCCTTTCAAAAATTGTACAGTCTTGGACCAGTCCTGAAAATATTCAATACAAGGAGAATAAGACTGGACCACTCAAAAATACAGGAGAAGGTCTTGGTGCAAAAAAAATTAAATAATTATAATAAAGATTTTACAAACCAGATGGTGATATTGTAAGCATGCGATTCTCTTGTGAAGGATGCCAGGAAAATGCAGATACAACTGTTCCTGAGGCTGTTGGCCATGAAATAAAAAAAATAAACAAGATTGTTTTTAACTCTCAGGGGCTATCAACTGTACCGTGGTTTATAGACCTCTTTCATAATGGGAGGCATGATTTTCATTATTGTTACAGTAACTTTGAACAAGCAAATATGACTTATAAGCCTCAGTTACTTTAGATGTATTTTTTGTCTTGTTTTTGTGTTTTTTTTTTTCTTTTTTTTTGAAGCACAGCAGCTGCAGTTTTAAGACAAAGCAAAGGTCATTACTATTCCACTTAATATGCCCCTCGGATATAAATAGCCAATTTGACATTAATTGGTTGAACATTTGCCTATCATTTCATTTCCAACAAGCACTGTGGTGAAATATTAATTCAAACAAGTCATACAACCAGAAAGTTAATTATACCATCAAAGGTAAAAAAAATTGTCCTCTTACAGCTTAATTGTCAAGAAGCAGAAGTGTTCAGTTTCTTGTTTACAGCCCTTAACCCTTTCACGCCTGTGATCTCATTAGTAATTCTCCTTACTGTCTGCCATACAGTTCTTATGATGTTAGTTTGGAGAATTTGGTATTGGATCAAGAACGATCCCCTAATTAATATTTTTATTTATTCTCATCTCTTGTCTGCTTGAAATTGTATTGGCATCATTAGGAGAAATTCTTTCCTGGTCACTTCTAGGAGGTAAAGGGGTTAAATTTCAAAAACCCATTCACCTTCAGGCAACTTAACACATTTTACTGAAGATCATTAAAAGCAGAGGGAACAACATCTTACGCTTAACACTCCTTTCAATGAAAGAAGGTTCTATCTCGTATCCAACTCCATACGTTGGTGAAACTGAGGAAAGATTTCAAGTCAAGCTCTGAGTTAGGTTTATCAAGTTTAACCCTGTATTATAAGGAATTATAATATCGCCCCCCAGTTCCCCTGGTTAGCTCAATTGGTTGGAGCACTGGAATGTGTTGTTGGGGGTTCGAGCCCCAGCTGGACCAATACTCATGGTCTTAAAATAACTGAGGAGAATTTGCTACCTTTCTATAGTATCAAGAAATGGATAGATATTCTAGTCTTCTTGGATAAGGACCAATAAACCATAGGTCCCGTCTCCTGCAGGGTAAGGGTTAGAGACATTAATTTCCCATGCACAAGATTACTGTGTGATGGATGTCCTCCCCTGGGGTGGGATGGGTGGGTGTTATTGTTTCACAGTGCCCCATTTAAACTAGCCATTTGCTAAACTGGGCCACCCTGTAAAAATATTTGTAAATACATATTCGTAAATTCATTTCTGCATACATGAGTGCAAAAGATTTGAATGAAACATTTCTTTGGACAAATAATAGATAAGAGATAAGCGAGTTCAGACTTTAAAGTGTATCAAACAAACAAAACATGCTGTGAATTTGATAAATAACTTGACATTCACCAATGAAAATTTTGCTGAATTAATGATTCTTTGGAGTCACAAATTGATTTTTTCCAATCAAAGAAGGTGGATATCTAAGGGGGGTAAGCATAGGGGCTTAGTTTGTAAATTTAATTTTTGACTATTTTAGTATGAGGGCTTCAATGGTGAGGGATTCTTAACCCTTTACACTGTAACATCAGTAGGCATATTCTCCATACYTTTTCTCTATGCATTTCATAAGGTGCCCACAAGGAGAATTTGTCGAACAATCAAGAGGTTCTTTAGTTGGTGATCATTTCCTTTATTCTCATGACCTTAAAGTTTGATTCAGGGGTGATATTGTAAGGAGAAATTGGACGCTAGTCTCTCCTGGGAGTTTAGGGGTTAAAGAGACAAACAGCGCTTTATTTTTTAAAGTTCTTCCATGTGTCTCAGATTAGACGTCCTACATGGTGGATTCTATATATTAGTCAACTCACTTACCTACTGAAGTATGTTGAATATCGTACAGTTGCACAATGGGCCTTTCTTTACCAAGTGTGGTCACTAAACCAGATCGTGTTGGACTCCATGCAGTGGCTGTCACAGAATGGGACTGACTCATTGTCATTAACTGAACAAAGTTAAGGTAGGACTGAAAATAAACACACTTGCATACCTGACCTTATTAAATTACGAAATGCCAGTTGGAGTTTTATAGTAGGAGAAAAACACTCTTGAATTTTATAGTTTTGAAGGTGGACAACTGGACTGACTTGTTATGGTATGAGGCTTTTCCTTTTCTAGAATAAGAAATTATTGTAAATAGAGTAACATCTAACACTTAATTTTCATAACTTATTAACAAGGAAAGGTGTAGCAGCTAGAAAGGAGAATTAACAAACAGATCTTAAGAGTTAAAGGGTTAACAATAATAGACCATTTTAAGGTTACTGGCACCAATTTGCCGGGGAAGCAAAACTGCTGGCAGGGGTGAGTGCAAAAAGTACAGTGATTGTATGGAGAAAGTAAAGAGATTGATGCTAGATAATTTGAGGAAGGTTGACATTGTGCAATTTCTATGAATTACAAACTAAAGATACCAGTTTACTGATCAAATTTGAGAAAATAAGTCTCACAAAAAAAGCTGCAAATTAGGATTTTGATTTTCCATATATTGGTCTGTGAAACCAAGCTGCCATTTGCGGGAAAATTTAAAAGCATTTGTATGAAAAACTAAAGATAAGATTTCTCACTTCTCAGCAAGCCTGAACCCTTCACATTTCATTGGCAACATCTTTTGCTAGGTATCTTTACTTTCGTTGTAATTTAAAGAAATTGCAGAATGTCAACCTTCCTCAAATTATCAAGCATCAATCTTCCGACTTCCGACTTTTTCCATACATTCACTGTACATTTTGCACTTGCCCCAGCAGTTTTGCACCCCTGGAAAAATGGTGCCAGTAACCTTGAAATGGTCTCTTTCGAAAAAGGCTTCTAAGTGGGGTCAAATTTTAGCTTTAGCTTTATTAAGTTTGAGTCTTATAGACTGAAGTTCTGTACCAAAATTTCCAACTATCATCCCTGTTCTCTCACATAGGGGTATATTCCAAATTATTATAAACTGGATCATTGGATAATGCAATTCAAGACATTTTATTGGCTTAGCCATTATGGTATATGAGCCGATATACCATAATCTAATATCTGTACATCCGGTTTCTTCTTTCAAAATAAAGTAGAGAAGATTTGTCTAATATGTTGGGGGTGTTTTTTTTAATAAGACAATTATTCCACTCGTGCTTGTTGGATATGAGATGATTATAGCCAACTTGGCGCTACGCTCCTCATTGGCTATCTATCATCTCATATCCAATGCGCGCTCGTGAATAATTGTTACATAATTCAACATTTGAACCATTATCTGTTATAGGAAGGATACAGGCTTTTCCAAATTTCGATCATCCCAGATGCAAACTATCCCAGGAGGACCCTTCAATAAAAAAAAAAGAAAATTCTTAACATAATATTTCACTATAATTAACAATTATTCCA